TCCCTTTGAGATAGTTCATGTTTCAGGCCCTTCACAGACCTCATCTCACCAACTACTTCCATTTGCCCAATGAGACAAGGACAATGACTATTTTTATCTTAGAGGTGTTTCAACTGAAGACTCGTTCAAACACAGCTGTGAGTCTAGAACAGAGGCCTAGATGGGCCGGTGAGTGTGCACACCCAGTGTCCTGCACAAATGCGGTAAGACATAGTCCTCTCAGGTGTGGGTTGAATGTTGGTCATTCTATTTGAAGAACATCTCCACATAACCTAACTGCCCAGCTGCCCATGCATTCACCCAAGCTGGTGTTTGGGTGGGACTTGGGCAAGCAGCTGGGAAGGGGACAGGTGGAGAGGGAGGAGCACAGCCAACACCAGATCTCTGTCACAGCGACTTCCCCGCTTTTACTCCCTGCCTGACCTCCAGCTTTGAAAATCTGTTCTGTCCAGAGCTCTGGTCCACCGCTACACATGTTCCCTTCCTCTGAGGTCTCAACTGACCAGAGCTTCCTAACTGTGCAGAATGGAGTCTAAGGTGGCAGTTTCTTTACGGGGGAGTGCCTGAGCCCGACAGGCGCAGAGCCAACTCCTGGAGCCACCGCCTACATGCTGTGTGATTTTGGGCACAGAAATGGAAAGCCGTCTCCTCCTCTGTCAGATGGGATGACGCTCCCCCTGGGGCGGCTGTGCGGGTCCAGTGAGGTGTGCATTTAGCTCCTGTGATCGGCACTCACTCTCCCTCCCTCTTCCCTTTTCTGTCTTTCCCTACCTTCTGTGAGCAGGATAAATCAAGAATTTAACAAAGTTTCCTTTTAGCAGAATGAGCTCTCCTATTGAGGTCCAAACACACAAAGATCCCCAAGTCCTAACTCTTACACCTGTGATAGCTTCATCCTCAGGACAGTATTACCCACAGCCTCCCCTGGTCCTCACACCCTGGCTCCTCTGTAGACTCATGGTCCTGCCTCAGCTCAGTCCAGCTCCACTTCTCACCAGTGTGCTCACTGGTCTGCTTCCTGTCCCTCTGCCATCCAGTCCACCCTCCCCTGTGACCCCCTGGATCTCTCTTCCCTAAATTAGGGCTCTCATCCTGCCACTTCCCTGTGTAAGAACTGCCAACAGCTTCCCCTGCCTGGAAAATAAAGTCTCTGTCGTCAGCACAGTGTCAACACTCTTCTCCTGGTCCCGTTTTCGATCATAACACCCCGATTCGGTCACCAGGGACCCAGCTGTCAACACTGACCTCTCTGGCTGGAGGATCAGCCAGGGCTTCAGCAGACAGAGGTGCCAGCAGAGATTGTGCCTGAACGCGGGAAAGGGGATAAAATACAGGCTCTACTTAATGATCATGTGTCAATATTTGTTCCTTAATTGTAACAATTCTGAACAGAAAAATTCAAAGGAATGAGAAATTAACAGTCAGATAAGAGAAAACTATTGCATCAGACTGGAAACCTGGGGGACTGCCTAGTAAGAATACACATCAATAGCCCTGGCAGGTTTGGCTCAGAAGGTAGAACGTTGGCCCACGGACCAAAGTAGTTGCAGGTTCGATCCCGATCAAAGGGCACATACCCCGGTTGTAGTTCAGTGCCAGGCCCTGGTCAGGGTCATGTGGGAGGCAACCAGTTGACATTTTTCTCTCTCTTTCCCACTCTATCTGAAGATAAATGGAAAAATATCCTCAGGTGAGGATTTAAAAAGAAAGACACATTAATAAAATAGGGAAATTACAAACAAATAAATTAGCCCACCAGGACCCTGTTTCCCTTTCTGGTTCTTCTCCCCTTGTTCTGCGGGTTCCGTCTCTGGGGACAGGGAAGGAACAGGAACAGAGCTGTTCCCGGCCCCACTCAGTGTCTTCATCTCCCCCTCTCCCAGAGAGGACACCAGGCAGAGGGAGTCCAGAAACTACTGATTCTGCTGTGTCCGCTAACACCATGTGACTTCAATAGACTGGACACACTCACTGAGGCAAAGTAAAGTAGTAATTTTAGTGGCGGGAATAAAGTAATACTCGCTGGTTTAAGAGCAGGTTCAGGCCTGGCGAGTGCACACTCAGTCTCACAGTGGGACCTGGTCCCTCTCCAGCCCTCTGCCTGCTCAGTGCCTCTGGGGGCTCCATTCACAGGCACAGTCTCTCTCCCTGCATCGGGGCCTCCAGCGCCTCCAAGCTGCCACCTACTCACTGTCCATTTTTCCGGGAAGGGTTTCTTCTTCTCTTTGATTTCCTAAAAAGTCACATCTTTACATGGCTTTGACCTGGCTCATTCTTAAATCCGCCAGAGCACCCAGAGGGTGGAGCAAGGGATCGGCTGGACGTGGAGACAGCCCCTGGGAACTATGTGGAGGGGGAAAGGTGGGACGAGTTCCCAGAGGGAAGCTGACGTGCTGGACTGGGGCATGAACAGACACCAGGTCGGGGAAATCAGCAGATTCCACATCACTGACAGCCCATTGCACAGCTGTGGGATCTGAAGCCACACAGGAGGGCTTCACAGGGTCAGAGGCTGCAGCCACCGTGTGTCCTCCCACCAGGGCGAGAAACAACTCCACTTGATGAAAAAGCAGCACTGCTGTTGGTGGGAAACTCAACTCCTGCCTTGGGCATCCGGTTCCTGCATCATGGGCCCAAACAGCCCGTGCCCACTCGGAAGGCACCAGGAGACAGAGGTGCAGCTGTGACGACGTGAAAAGAAAGAGAGGAATGTGGGGTTAAAAGTATTGTAAAGGAAGGGAGATACCAAAACATGTTTAAATTCGCAGGGGAAGAACTCCGTGGAGAAGTTAGGATGCATTACAGACACGATAACCAAAACAGCAAGGTCCCAGAGAAGAAGGGAGGGGGACCCGGTACACGTGGATGGGAAGCAGGACCCTTCACATGTGGTAACAGGAAGAAAGTGAGGGTGGGTGCAGGGACAGGCCCACTTGTGGACTCGGAGATTCCTGCACATTTCCTCTACACCAGTGCTTCTTGGCCATGGGATAGTTTGTCCTCTGCACCGGTGCTTCTTGGCCATGGGATAGTTTGTCCTCTGCACCAGTGCTTCTTGGCCATGGGATAGTTTGTCCTCTGCACCGGTGCTTCTTGGCCATGGGATAGTTTGTCCTCTGCACCGGTGCTTCTTGACCATGGGATAGTTTGTCCTCTACACCGGTGCTTCTTGGCCATGGGATAGTTTGTCCTCTACACCGGTGCTTCTTGGCCATGGGATGGTTTGTCCTCTACACCGGTGCTTCTTGGCCATGGGATAGTTTGTCCTCTGCACCGGTGCTTCTTGGCCATGGGATGGTTTGTCCTCTACACCGGTGCTTCTTGGCCATGGGATAGTTTGTCCTCTACACCGGTACTTCTTGACCACGGGATAGTTTGTCCCCACCCTGGGGACACTTGGCAATGCCTGAAGACATGTTTAGTTGTCACAGTGGCGGGGGAGGGAGGCACCAGGGAAGTTACTGGCATCCAGTAGGTAGAGACCACCAGGGACACCTGCTCAGCATCCCAAAGTGCACAGGACAGTCCCCACCACAAAAAAGAAATCAACCAGCCCAGGGGTCAACAGTCTGAGGTCAATGAGCAAGATCTGCTGCGAAGAAAGGTGGAGCGTCCTCAACAAAGAGGAACCAAACAGGTGGCCAGCTTCACTCGCCACCACTCTAAGCGCCAGAGAACCTTCCAGAGAACCTTCCAGAGAAGGGATGGCACCAGTGAGCCTCGTGCTCAGACGGGGCTGGCTTCCCCGGTCCCAGGGGCGGCTCTGAGGTCGGGGTCCTCACCCACCGCCAGGCACGCGCGGGGCTGGGCTGCGCCCCGAAGCCAGGACTGAAAGCAGTTTCTGAAAAAGGGTCACACGCAAAGGTGTTCTCGCTCTCCTGGGTCTCCCCTCTCCCTTCCTCTCTCTCTAAATCAATGGAGAAGGAAAAATTTTAATAAAATAAAATAAATAAAAGACAGAGGCGGTCACAGCGCATCGTCAACAAGACGCCCGGACGTGGGCTCGGGGACAGGCCGGAGGACACAGCGGGCTGACAGCGGAGCAAGGGGACGGGCCCAGGACGCGGGGCGAACCTCCAAGGCGGGTACCTATTCGGGAGACCCGGTTCCCCCCATTCTCCTCCCCTCCGAGGGGACCCGCTACACAGACGGGCCTCCCGGGCCCAGACCCGCCCAGACGCGCCCCGGCCCCCCGCGGCCCCCCGCGGACCCCCCCCCCCCAGGCCCCGCCGGCACCGCGCCAGCCGCCTCGCGGGTCCTTCAGGCCCTCGGCGGGCAGCCCGGGGCGGGGTCCTGGCGCGGTTGCGTAGCAGCTGCAGGGACGCCGCCGAGTCGGAAGCCGGGTGCGGCGCAGCGTGAGCCCGGGTGGGGACGGGCGGGCTCCGAGGGCGGCGGGCTCCGGGCCGGCGGGGTGGGCGGGAGGCCCCCTCTCCGCCCCCGCGCGGTCGTGCAGTGAGGGCGGCGGCCCCCAGGCCTCGGGACAAGGTCGGCACCGCCTGCCGTCGCCGCTCTCAGCCTCCGGCCGGGCCGCGACCTGCTGCGGTGCCGTCACGCACTCCGCCCGGCGAGCTCCGCGGGGCGCTGGGGGCGCTCGGTGCTGGTCGCAGGACCAGCGGCTGAGGGGGCGACCGGCTCGCGTGGGGACGGGGCCGTGTCCCGCGTGTGCCTGTCCCCGTCCGGGCCGGGCAGGCCGGTGCACAGCCGAGCCTGGCCCGAGAGGGACTGTGGGGGAGGGAACCACTTTGGTTTGCATTTAGGAAAGACTTGAACCGGGCAGAGGTGAAGCCCCTGGAGCAGCAGGTTTGGGAATGTCCTCGTGGAGGCCGCTGCTGACTGGGGGTGGGGGGGGGACAGATCCAGGGGACAGGGGACAGGGACGGCTCGGCCGGGGGGGCTGTCGTCCTGTCAGTGATGACAGCTCAGGATCGGGACTCTGCCAGACCGTCTGACAACGATCATAGGACATGGGTGCTGCTTTGTGTCCGTTTTACAAGTGAGAAAAGCGTGTGTGTCAACTTTGCACTTGGGAGTGGATGGTGTGGCCCGTGAGCGTGGCTGTAGTAAGGAGATGGCAGAGTCAACCACCCTGAGAGCATCTTGTTGGGGCTGAGATTACAACCCGCAGTTCAGCAGGTGGCGGCCAGGTGGTGATGAGTAGAGAAGGATGTCAGTGTGTCCTTGGGCCCCTCTCATCTGCTCATTCTCTCCCCTGTCCATACAGAGAAGAGCCCCCTTCCCTGAGCTGAGCCAGGGGCCAATGGCCAGGGACAAAGCCCAACCCTGTGAGCTGGACCAAGAGAAATACGATGCTGATGACAACGTGAAAATCATCTGCCTGGGGGACAGTGCTGTGGGCAAATCCAAGTATGTTGGGAGACTGGGAAGGAAGACCGGGCCCAGAGTGGGTCTAGGCTACTAGAAAAGTCCTCTGGAGACACAGTGGGACTCGTGGGAGTAGTCTTGGCTGGAGCCCAGGTGTGCACTGGGGAGGTGAGGGGAGCAGAGCATCATGTCAGCATGGGGTCAAGTCAAAGGACCGAGGAAATTGAGCTTTTCCCATCAGCACTGTAAGACGGTGTGGGGCAGGTCACTGGAGACCACTGAATCAGTCCAGGGTGAGGAGGTTGAGCATACGCATTGTGAAGATGGGCTTATTCTTTTAACTGACATCAGAGCCTATAGGCACAGATGTGGAACTCCCCACATGCAGAGTTGATGGAGGCTCCGCAGTGCTGGCAACTTGTCTCCAGAAGCTGTGCTCCTGTTTCTCATCTGTCTGGAGCTAGCGAGGGCACACATCCAATTCTGTGTTCACAGGATGAGGGTGGACCTGCCCCAACCAGGAGTCTGGTGTCGCATTCCCTCCCAGGTGCTCCAGAACCACGTTGCTTTTCACCTGCATCTTTTACTAACATGTCCTTGGACTCAAGTAACTGTGAATGATTCTCTAAGGCTTTACTGGTTTCAGACCATCTTCGTGAATTCACGCCACAGCACCCAGGGCAGCTCTGGTTGTTTGATGTGTTTATTCTTTCTTTTGTTGCCCTTGCCAGAGGAGACATACCAAAAAAATATTACTAAGAGCTATGTCAGGGAGTTCAGTGCCTGTTTTCTTCTAGGAGTTCTCTGGTTTCAAGTTTTACATGCAAGTCTTTAATCCATTTTGAGTTTATTCTTATGTATGGCATAAGAAAGTCGTCTATTTTTTTTTTTTTTTTTTTGCATGTACCTGTCCAGTTTTCCCAACACCATTTATTAAAGAGGCTGTCTTTAACCCATTGTACATTTTTGCCTCCTTTGTCATAGGTTAATTGACTATAAAGGTGTGGGTTTATTTCTGCTATCTATTCTGTTTCATTGATTTATGTCAGTGCCATACTGTTTTTATTACTATGGGCTTGTAGTGTAGTTTGATATCAGGTGGTGTGATTCCTCCAACTTTGTTCTTCTTTCCCAAAACTGCTGTTGTTCAAATTTTGTGAAATGCACCACTGGTATTTTCATAGGAATTCTGAAGAATCTATAGGTTACTTTGGGCACTACGGACATTTTAACGATGTTAATGCTTCCTATTATTGGGTTCTTATTTATATCTTCTATTTCTGTGTTGAAAAATAGTCCTTTGTTGAGACTGCATTTTCATTTACATCAAGCACATCTGCACCTAATCAGCGGTGCGTTTTTTGAAGCTACTTTGACAGTCTTGTCAGATGATCATGACATCTGGATCATCACAGTGCTGCGTCTGCTGGTTGTCATTGTGCATTCTGTTGGAGGGTTTCCTGTTTCGGGGTATGACAGATGATTTTCTGCTGAAACTTGGACATTTTGAATATCTTGTTATTTAAACCTCTGTCTGAGCTGGCTTCCTGTGGAGCTGCTTCAGCTGGGGAAGAGGAGCCGTCGCGCCACCCCCACCTGCCACCCTTGGTTTTTGAGAGAGAGGAAGGAGAGGGAGAGATAGAAACATGGATGAGAGAGAACACCAACTGGTCGCCCTCTGCACACCCCCCACTGGGGACCTGGCCCACAACCTCGGCACACGCCCTGACCTTGAGTCGAACCAGCGACCCCCTGGTGCAAGGGTCCACATTGGCCAGGCCTGGCTGCTTTGGCCTCAGCAGACACTTTGGGGTGATGGAGCCTCATTACATCTGTAGGAAAGGAAGTCCTCTCCCTACTTGGCCTTGTTGGACACCCACCCAGTTTGGGAATGTTGGGAGCCTCATTACAGCCTCCAGCGTGTGGGAGTGTAGGCTCCTTACTCAGCCCGTGCTCATGGGCGAGGGCATGGCTGCAGGTTTTCTGTGGTGTTTGAACGGGGGTTACAGTCGAACGGGGGTTACAGTCGAACGTTTTTTGACCTAGGTTCTGGGGATGCCGTCATAACGTAAACGTTGAACAACTGCTTTCATGTGCATTCCACTCTCTGAGGGAGGTGCTTTTTGCAGGGCAGCGATACAGTAACAGTGAGATAGAACTTGCCTGCTTGTCATAAATAGGATCCTCAGGGAAGGTCTCATTGCTCAGGTGACATTTAACCAAAGCCCTGGAGGACCTGCAGAATGTTGGAGGGACAGATTTCAGGCGAAGGACACAGCCTTCCTGGCCTCGGTTTCCCATGCATAAAACAGGGCTGACTGTGGTGTCCACCGTGTGCAGAGGCAGAGAATGGGTTTGAGCCTTGCAGGGCTGGTGCACACACGTGTAGCAAAGTGAGCTCTTCGGTGGTGAGAGTCATGCAAGTCCCAGGTTCCGGATGTGGAGGAGGGGGGACAGCACTAACTGGATCGTTCAGGCAGGATCGGGACACACAGCAGAGCTCAGACGGCGGGTCTGGATTCCTTCCTCTGCTGTTGGCGACCAGCTTCCAGGTGCCTGCCTGCAGGCAGAGCACCTGTGGATGCAGGAACTTCAGGGGGTCAGGAAGCGGGAGGTCCTGGGCATTGTTCTTCCAAGGAACCTGTGTGGCTGTGGAGTGACTGGGAGGGGGGAGCCACAGGTGACTCCAGCTGGGGGACCTGGGGGACGCGCCTGACCATCATGCATGTTCTCCTTACAGGCTCATGGAGAGATTTCTCATGGACGGATTGTATCCTTCAGGGTTGGAAATGCTCCTGCTGTTGAGGCCTCCCCACCCCCCCCGCCAGCCCACCCGCTGCCCACCCTTTTGCTCCAGGGTCCAGGGACGAGGGGCAGGGGAGATAACGAGGGTGGTAGAGGGCTGATAGTACCTGGTCAAATGCCTGCATCCCTGTGAGCATCACTTCGCCTCTCTGACCTCAAAGCTTGGGCTCCCTAATATTTAAATATTCTCTGGTGTGAATGAGCTTTATAAAATATAAGGTGCTAGTCCCTCTCTCTTCCATGAAGTGCTGCGCGCTGCCTGGCAACTAGGACGTTTGACCGTGACAAGAAGAGGCCCCGGACCCCCGGGGAGTCAGAGTGTGTCTGGCCTCACCTTCCATCAGGTCTCCCTTACATCCGCCCACCTGTGTGTCCCAGCTTCTTCCTCAGGGCCCACCGCCCAGCCCCAGCATCTCGCAACTTCAGGAAGGATCAGCCCCAGGTATTCTGCTGGGGTTTCACACACAGCAGACTGCAGTCCACAGCCGGTCAGCTGTCTGGCTTGTGGAGTCTTTCTTCCCTGGAAGCCTATATCGCTGAAGTTGCGTTTTCCAATGACGTGATGCTGCTTATGACAGCCGATCGGTAAAATTCCATTCCAGGGTCCCCTCGGACCTCATGGTCACGATACTCTGCCTATCTCTCAGCCCGCCACCTTCCGGGTCTGGTGCCAGCGATATCTGAGGCTGATCCTGTCTCAGCTTGCATTCCATTTAAAATCTAAATACACCAGAAAGAAAAGAAGAGAAGAGGCCCATTCCATCACAACCCCACCACCCCCTCTACCAAGAACCTTCCTTCCCTCCCTGTTTGTTCCTCTTTCCTCCTTAATCTGACGGCAGCCAGCCCCAGCAACTGTCCACGTACGCCCTGACCCTGTACAAGCACACAGCCACGGTGGACGGCAAGACTGTGCTTGTGGGTAAGCAGCACACGGCCGATGACTCCGGCTCTCGGGCAGGGCAGCAGAAGGAGAGACAAGGCCCATGAGAGAGTCAGAGGGAATGAGACCCCAGCAGGAATGCAAGGAGGGGGTGGTAGGGAGGACGCTGAGAACCTGGAGGCCTGGGAGGGGGAGGAAGCACGCAGGGCTCTGTTCCTGTGCTCCGTCCTGGTGTTCTGATTGAGCCAGCATCTGAATATTATGTTCCACAAAGAGCTGTGACTTTCCGTGAGGTGACAACCTTCCCCTTGGCCAGGCCTCACATCCTGCCTGACCGTGTTCACCATCTGTAGTCACCACATGGGGGAAGTTGGCCTACTTCCACCTTGGAGGGCCCTGCATCTTGAGGGTTGGGGGAAGGGGAGCACCTACCTTCTCCCTCTTGGGGCTTCCCGTCTGCATTCTCCATCCTCCTGGCCTGTGTCTCCTCTCACTCACCCACCCACAGACACACAGGTGTGCACAGGCCTCTCCTGGCTCAGCCAGGCTCCCTGGGTCCTGAGAACACGCACAGGCAAGCTGGTGGTGTCCGTGTCCCTGTGCTTCTGCACAGACCCCTGCGTGGAGGTGTCAGGGTCTCTGCCCTCCAGCCCCGTTATGCAGTCAGCTCTGTTCATGTTGCAGACTTTTGGGACACAGCAGGCCAGGAGCGGTTCCAGAGTATGCACGCCTCCTACTACCACAAGGCGCACGCCTGCATCATGGTACGAGAGCTGCTGGGAGGCGGGCAAGGCCCTGGGCAAGCCTGGCCTGAGGGTGAGGAGCAAGGGGCTCAGCAGTACTCAGAAGGCTCCCAAGGGCTCCCATGATTGTCCCTGGGTGCTGCTCACTAGGGTCAGACGCTGGAGCTGGGAGGACCCTGCGGTTCTCTAGGGATTTTCCCTCCCAAACCAGCCCCCTCTTCTCCAGCCTTCATCTTACTGTCTAGAACAGTCTCCTGCATTGCACCTTATAGCCGGGATAATAGTGCCACGGCAGGACATCAAACTCAGCTCTGGGAAGAGCCGGGCCGGGAGAGAAGATTCGTGTCAGCCGGTGTCCTCCAGGACCTGCCCGAGAACTCCCTGGCCCCACGCTCAGGCCCTACTGTCCCTTAAGCACAAAAGCCCTTGAAGTGAAGCAAATACCTACAAGGGGACAGAACAGACGAGGGGGCGGTAAGCTGTGAGGGCAGCACTGTGCGTAAGTCACACTCAAAGTCTTGCGTTTTCAGCATCTGTGACCCTCGAGACCTGGGAAGGGGCTCCCAGCCTTTCTTCGCTCTGTACTGGCCCCGAGAGCGTTGAGCTTACTTCCTTTTTCTCTCTGGGAGTGACCTCCTCCTCTGACGCACCTTCATGGGCTCCTTTTGGACCCTCTCCTGAGGCCGGGTGCCTGTATGTGCCTGGCACAGCTGCAGCCTGCTGCACGGCCTGGCAGGTAGACAGCACCTGCCTCTGACAACCTCAGGGGGATCCCGTAGTCCCAGAGGGAGCTGGGGTTCCACCCTCCACCTTGAAACCCTGGCAGAAGGGCTCCTCAGCCCCCACAACAAGGAGAGGAAGCTCCAGAAAGCAGACCTGGGCAAAGGGTGGCGGCTGGATGGTGATCACAGGAGGCAGCCTGGTGCGAAGCAGATCCCAGGAGTTTCATTACAAGCACGCGTTAAAGGAAGTCATCTTCTTTTTTTTTTCAATTTTATTTTTCTTTATTGACTCGAGAAAGGGAGGAAGGGAGAAGGATACAGACATAGAAACATCAATGAGAGAGAACATCGATTGGCTGCCTCCTGCATGCCCCCCATTGGGAATTGGGCCCTGACCAGGACTCGAACTGGTGACCTCTTGGTACATGGCTGGACACTCAACCACTAAGCCACCTGGCCAGGCTAAAGGAAGTCTTTATTGGGAATTCAAGACAACCTGGTCATGTGCCAGCAGTGGACCAGGGGAGAGCCTCCTGCTGTCTTGGGTGTGCCCACTGTGAGCACCCACAGCCTTGGGCCTGGTTCGTGCTGCCCCCACGGAGGGCTGGGCGAGCTGTAAGTAATAGCAGCCGTTCCAGCAGGCGAGAGGCGTGTCGCTGCAGCCCGCTGCTGTGCGGCGGCGTGTGTGGCGGTGGGTTATGCCAGAGGACAGCTTGGAAGCAGGAGGCTGCTCTTTGAGGAGCTGCTGTGAGGGGCTTGGGGGGTCCCCGCAGCAGCGACTCAAAGTGCTTGTGCTTCCGGCTGTATTTCAAAGTAGGAAGAAACCACAAGTTTCAAAAAGTTAATAAAATTATGAGCTATAAAATGTTAAAAGTTCAAAATGCAAACTGAACAGAAGATTAAACAAAGGCTTAGAATTACAAGTAAATAAAAGTAACTAAAGGGAAATTCTGGAAACACTAAACATTATTACAAAGGAATTTTAAACCAGTTTAAGCAGGAAAAATAATAGACTAAGGAAAAAGTTTACAGTGTGTCACAAACTTGATTAGTAAGACGATACAACTAGGTTTAAAAGGGTAAATAAAATTAGGTGACGATTAAAAAAAGAATAGAGGTTTGTAAAACCATTTTTGGAACCGGAAGTTCGGGGGGGCTTTCTTGAGAAGGGCGGGCACAGGCACAGCCTCTGTGGTCGGAGCAGGGACCCAGCCAGGGTTCCCAAGCCTGAGATGTGCCCACTACCTGTGGGCTAGTCACTGGGGCGTGTGGAGATGGTGACACCTGAGCGGTCTTCCTGTGCTTATTGCAGGTGTTTGATATACAGAGGAAAGTCACCTACAAGAACCTGGGCACTTGGTACGCAGAACTCCGGGCGTTCAGGCCAGAGATCCCGTGCGTCGTGGTGGCCAATAAAATCGATGGTAGGGCCGTCCCTGCATCTGGTGTCAGCGGTTCCTCGGGTCCCACCACGCGTCTCCTCTTGTTTTCTGAGGCCGTGATTCTTCAATGATCCATCCTTCCCAAGACATGGTCCTTGGTTGCATGTATTCACTCCCTTCCCAGTGAAGACCCCACTTTCTGGAAGGGGCCTCTGGTGATCCACCCTGCAGACCCCTCTCTCCCTGGATGAGAAGGCCAATATCCTGCCTTCTCTCTACAGCAGACATGAAGATGACCCAAAAAAGATTCAGTTTTGCCAGGAAGTTCTCCCTGCCGCTGTACTTTGTCTCGGCTGCTGACGGCACCAACGTTGTGAAGGTAATGGTGGAGGTCACACAGCCAGGTGATGAAGGGACCAGGGAAGCCAGCAAGAGAAGGGCCGGCTGCAGGGTGGAGAGGGCGGGCACTGGGGCTCGGCCTGGGCCTGTGACAGGAAGGGGTCCCTGCAGGTATTGACAGAGGAGCAGATGGGCCCATGGACCGTGTGGAGTCAGAGTGGTGGGAAGAAGGTGAACTGATGAGTGACCTTGCTGATTTTAGGGGTGCAGTGTTGTGGGGACTTAGGATGGGGCCAGTCTGTCCAAGGCCAGCAGAGCCCAGGTCACTGGCACCCATGGCTGTTGTTTTCCTTCTGCCCCCAACTCCTCCCAGCTCTTCAATGATGCAATTCGATTAGCAGTGTCTTACAAGCAGAATTCCCAGGACTTCATGGATGAGGTTTTGCAGGAGCTTGAGGTAGGTCAGGCCCAAGTGTTGGGGGTCACAGAAGCGGCTTCTCTTCAGAGGGTGTGGAGTGGGAGCCAGCCGCGTGGCTTTTGCAGGCACCCCTAGAGGTATCACTGCAGACGGCCAGCGCTGGCCAGGCCTCACCTGAAACCTTGTCCACAGAACATTGATTTGGAGCAGAAGGAGCAGGACCTGCCAGGCCTGGAGCAGGCTGCCAGCACGGAGAGCCTGCCCCCCTCCTGAGTCTGCGGAGACCTCCCTCCCTTCGCAGCCCTGCAGCTTAGAACTGAGAGACCTCCCTGGCCCGCGACACCCGGCCCTTCCACAGCTGCCCGCCCGTACTTGGGGCATGAACGGGTCGGCACCAGCAAGCACCCTGACACACGTGAGAGGTCCGTCCACACCAGACCCTGACGCAGCATTGGGGATCATAATCCCCCTCCCAGGGTCGGATGGTGAAGAGAATCAGGGAACCTGCTTTGTGTGTCTCTTAAATAAAAGGAAATTCAGGTTGTTGTTTTGTCTCCCGGAACAGACCTCAGGGCCTGTCTGTCGCATGGCCCCTAAGGTCATGATTTCCAGCCCCATCTGTGCAGAATTTGGGAGCCCCCTTTTCACCGTCAGTCCCCCAACCACCTTTTACGGAATGGTTGTGCGCAGACAGCCTCCTTCCACAGGCGTTCGGGGCTTGTGTAGGCACAGCCAGCACATGGTGCCGGTGAGGTGAGCCCGTGAGCCCCGTGAGCCCCGTGGGCAGGTGCGCCGTGCTTGGTGCTGCGCCGACGCAGCCTCTGCAGGCCGTGTGGCACCAGTTCGGGTGGGAGACACTGGGAAGGGCCTCCTGTGAGAGCCCCACCTCGGAGGAGGTCCTGTGTCCCCAGGACGGCTGCCCGAGGGAGCAGAGCCCCTTCCCCCCAGGACTGGCCCACTAGTGCTTTCACGGCCGACTTCTAACCATTTCATTGTGTTTGTTTATTTCTTCTGTTTTCTTTTTTACAGTAAAGGTTTAATTACATCAACATTGAGCATGTGTATATTTTGTGGGTCTGGATTTCACTGGACCAACAACACGAAAGAACTTGCAAGTTCTTTCTGCCCTGGTCCCTGTGTCCCAATACCTTACGTTATCCAGGTTAGCTCTCGAGCTACTGGAACAGAGACCACTTCACTGCCACTGAGTGTATTAAACAGAACAAGTTTGGGGAGTCAAATGTTTCCCCCTTAAGTTACCGATGCTTACAATTTCACCCCAGGAGATTAAACCTGACCACAGATTTTCAGGAATGTGTTACCCTGGTAAAGGTGGGCTTTAAAAAACAAACACAAAACATCTTTGAGTTACTGTATACAGTGATACCTCGGTTCTTGAACATAATTCGTTCCAGGAGGACGGTCGAGAACCAAATTGTTCGAGAACCGAAGCAATGAAACCCAATAGGAAATAATGGAAACTGGATTAATTCGTTCCAAGCCCCAGAAAATGCCTATTTACTGGCCTAATTTGTATATAATATGTAGAAAAACATAAGTCTCAACAAGAAATAAAAGTGTACAGTATGTCTAAGGGTTAAATTCAGTGTAAAGCGTGACTCTCTCCACAAAGCGTGACTCTCTCTGCACCCACACTGATGACGCGAGCAAGGCGCGCTGGGCCGAATGAACGCCATTCGGCTCAACTCGGCTCATCTCGGAAGTTCGAGTTCCAAATATTTGTTCGGATTCCAAGACAAAACTTTCTCGAATCTCCTGGTCAAATACTGATTTGGTCGAAATTCGAGGCGTTCGAGAACCGAGGTATCACTGTATGACAAATAAGTATCTTTTAAATATAATGGCTTCCCCTGGTCAGTTTGGCTCAGCAGTTAGAGCATCAGCCCTCAGACTGCAGGGTCTTGGATTTGATCCCCAGCCATAGTTGGGGTCACGTGGGAGGCAACCATGCCATCTGTCTCTCTCACATCGATGTTTCTCTCCCTCCATTCCTCCCTCCCTGCCACTCTTATCAAAAAATAAATAAATGGAAAGTATCCTTAGGTGAGGATTAACAAATAATAATAATAATGGCATTTAGGTATAATTAAAATACCCTAAAACTCACCATTAATACTGGTTTTAAGTAACCATTCTGCATCAGGACCCCTGGAGACGAGCCTGAAGAGGACTCTTGTTCATGTAACTTACCGGGGCCCGGGGACCAGGGCAGGAGCCGGAAGCTGAGCATGGCGTGGTCTCGGCCACACCAGCTTCAGTCTGCCCCCCACCCTGCCCCAGGGGAGCTCTGGAGGACGAGCTGCCCACAGGTTCCTCAGACCAGGGTTGTGTCCCGGCAGCCTAGGGTGTGAGCAGGAGGTGGGGGGTGGCCCAGAGCCCCCCGCGCAAGCTGACTCCTGCTTTAGCAAGCACAGCCCTCTGGGGACGGCAGCCACGAGCTACCCACCAACACAAAGCAGCTGGGGGACAGTGCTCGGCAGGTGCCACCGACACCCACCCCACCCTCGCACCTACCCCTGCATTACTTCATTCACCTGCTCCCTAAAGTTTCTTCCATCCTGACTGATGCAAGGACTACTACCGAATCGTTTTTTTGTAATAATTCATTGAAGTGGAATTATATGATGAAATTAACCACTTTAAAATAAACAATATAGTGTTATTTATACAGTTACAATGTTGAGGGACAATTTCCTCCAGTTCTGAAACATTTCCATCACTTGAAAATAAAGTTTCTCCCTTTGATCTCTGGCAAATACTAGTCTGCATTCTGTCTCTGGATTTATCTGTTCTGGACATTTCATGGAAATGGAATGATACAACATGTCACCCTTGGTGTGTATCTTTTAGGTAGCATCATGTTTTCCAGATGTGTCCATGTGTCATGTACTTCATTCCTTTTTATGGCTGAATAATGATCCATTGTACATTATTATTATTATTATTATTATTATCATTATTTTAATCCTCACCCAAGATACTTTTTACATTGATTTTTTAGAGAGTGGAAGGGGAGGGGGTGTTTTCCTCTATTCCTAATTTTTTGATGCTCTTGTTGGGAAAACTGCTGGATTCTGTCAGATGCTTTTCCTGCCTCTGAAATGTGGTTTTTCCACCTCAGTCTAACAATGTGCTGCATCATGTTGATTGATGTCTGTATATTGAACCACCCTTACATTCCTGTAATAAATCCATTTGTTCATGGTGTATAATCTTTCTAATTCAGTAATACATTAAAAAGATCATACACTATGATTGCCCTGGCCAGTTTGGCTCAGCGGTTAGAGCGTTGGCCTGTGGTCCGGAGAGACCCGGGTTCGGTTCCCGCTAAGGGCACGTACTTTGGTTGCAGTTTGTCCCCGGCCCTGGTTGGTCGTGCGGGTGGCAGCCACTCGATGTGCCCCTTCACATCGATGTTTCTCTCTCTCTCCCTTCCTCACTCTCCCTCCCACTCTATCTGTACAAAAAATGGAAAAATATCCTCGGGTGAGGATTAAAAAAAAAAAAAAAAGATCATACACTATGATTAAGTGGGATTTACTCATGGGGTGCAAGTTTGGTTCAATATTTGTAAATCAGTTAACATGAAACTCCACATAAACAAAATAAAGGGTAAAAAATTATATAATTATATCAATAGATGCAGAAAAAGCATTTGAAAAAATTCAACATTTATGGTAAAAACTCTTAGCAAAGTGAGACTAGAGAGAATATACCTCAACACATTAAAGGCCATAGATGACAAACTCGATAACATCACTCAATGGTGAAAAGCTAAAAGCGTTTTTCTTAACATCAGGAACAAGATGAGGATGTCCACTTTCACCAGTTTTATTTATCATAATGCTGGAAGCCCTAACCATAGCAATCAGACAAAAAGAAGAAATAAAAAGATTCCACAAAAACACCCTATTAGAACTAATAAATGAATTCAGTATAGTACCAGGATAAAAAAATTAATGTTCAGATATCAGCTGCATTTTTATACAGCAATAACAAACTATTGGAAAGAAAAATTAAGAAAAGAATCCCATTTACAATTGCATCTAAAAGAATAAAATACATAGAACTAAATTTAACCAGAGTTAAAAGACCTATAATCAGAAAACTATAGGACATTGAAAAAGACACAAATAAGTAGAAGCATTTACTGTGTTCATGGATAGGAAGAATTCACATAGCAAAAATGTCCATACTCCCCACAGCAATCTGTAGGTTCAATGCAGTCCCTATCAAATACCAGTGGTGTTTTCACAGAACTAGAACAAATAATCCTAAAATTATATGGACCACAAAAGACCCCAAATAGCCAAAGCAATCTTGAGAAAGAAGAACAAAGTGGAGGTATCATACTATTTGACATCCAGCTATACCACAAGGTCATAGTAGTCAAAAAAGTATGGTACTGGCATAAACACACACATATATCCATGGAACAGAACAGAAAGCCCAGAAATAAACCCACACTTATATGGTAAATTAATATATAAGAAAGGAGGCAAAAATATGCAGTGGGGTAAAGACAATCTCTTCAATAAATGGTGTTGGGAAAACTGGACTGATACATGCAAAAAAAATGAAAGTAGACGACTTTCTTATGCCATACACAAGAATAAACTCAAAGTGGATTAAAGACTTACAGGTAACAGGCAATAAACTCTCTGACATTACTCTTAGTAATATTTTTTTGGATATCTCTCCTCTGGCAAGGGCAACAAAATAAAAAATAAATAAACGTGTCTACATCAAACTAAAAAGTTTTTGCACAACAAAGGAAGCCATCAACAAAACGAAAAGTCAACCTGATGAACAGGAGAAAATCTTTGCCAATGATACATCTGGGAAGGGGTTATGAGCCACGATTTATAAGGAACTCATACAACTCAGTACCAAAACCCAACAGCCCAATCAAAAAATGGGTGGACGACCTGAATAGATGCCTCTCCAAAGAGGCCAAGAGACATGAAAAGATACTCAACATCACTAACGATCAGGGAAATGCAAAATAAAACCACAATGAGGTATAACCTCACAGATTTCAGAATGGCTACCATCCATAAATCAACAAAACAGGTGTTGGTGAGGCTGCGGAGAGAAAGAACCCTTGTGCACTGTTGGTGGGAATGCAGACTGGGGCAGCCACTGTGGAAAACAGTATGGAGGTTCCTCAAGAAATTAAAAATGGACCTGCCATGTGACCCAGTGATTCCACTTCTGGGTATTCATCCAAAGACACCCAAAACAAGAATTCAGAAAGATATAAACACCCCTCTGTGTGTGGCAGCATTATTTACAATAGCCAAGATAGGAAAGCAACGTAAGTGCCCATTAATAGACAAGTGGATGAAAAAGTTATGGTGCCCTGGCTGGTTTGGCTCAGCGGTTAGAGCGTCGGTCTGCGGTCCAGAGAGACCCGGGTTCAGTTCCCGCTAAGGGCATGTACCTCGGTTGCAGTTTGTCCCCGGCCCTGGTTGGGTCGTGTAGGTGGCAGCCACTCGAAGTGTCCCTTTCACATCGATGTTTCTCTCCCTCTCACCCTCCCTCTCTCCTTCCCGCTCTATCTGAACAAAAGGTGGAAAAATGTCCTTGGGCACATTTACACAATGAAATATTACTTGGCCATGAAAAATAAAATAAAATCTTACCATTTGTGACAGCATGGATGAACCTAGAAGGTATTATGCTAAGTGAAATGTCAAACAGAGAAAGACAAATACCATCTGATCTCACTTGTATGTGAGATAAACAAACAAAACCAAAACAGACTCAACGATATGGAAAACATTTTGACAGCTGCCAGATGGGAGGGCGCTGGGGGCCTGGGTGAACAGGTGAGGGATTAAGAAGTACAAATTCGTAGTCAGAGAATAGTGATGGAGATGTAAAGTACAGCACAGGGAACACAGTCAATAGCATGGTAATAGCATTCATGGTGTCAGGTGGG